CTTGGGCATGATTGAAGCTGAAAGAATTCTATCTAGAATATAATTTATGACTATATATTTTAAGCGAACTACTTCATGTATTTTCTGCTGTTATGATGAAAGGTATCACCAACATTTTAGGTAATGACCTTTCATAATTGCATACTTTGATAATAAAATGATGAAGATTTCAACAACAGTGGCTTCATAACTGTTCTATTTTACTGATAAATCAAGTCTTTATAAAAGAAAAAAACCATGCCTTGCTTTTGATCTTGTATTGAATAGATAACAGTTCAGTTATACCTTGAGACAGCCACATGACTTACCCAGTACTCACTGAGAACCAACTTTGATACAGAAACATGGAAAACTTTGACATCATGTATACTGCTAGTTCACATTGCGAACCAATAACTTTGAGACAGTAACATGGAAAACTTTGACATCATGTATACTGCTAGTTCACATAGCGAACTAATAACTTTGATACAGCAACATGGAAAACTTTGACATCATGTATGCTGCTAGTTTACATTGCGAACCAATAACTTTGAAACAGTAACATGGAAAACTTTGACATCATGTATACTGCTAGTTCACATTGCAAACCAATAACTTTGAGACAGTAACATGGAAAACTTTGACATCATGTATGCTGCTAGTTCACATTGTGAACCAATAACTTTGAGACAGTAACATGGAAAACTTTGACGTCATGTATACTGCTAGTTCACATTGCAAACCAATAACTTTGAGACAGTAACATGGAAAACTTTGACATCATGTATACTGCTAGTTCACATTGCAAACCAATAACTTTGATGCAGCAACATGGAAAACTTTGACATCATGTATACTGCTAGTTCACATTGCGAACCAATAACTTTAATACAGCAATTAACATGGAAAATTTTGACATATGTATACTGTAGGTTTACCCTGCGAACAATAACTTTGAGACATTAGCATGGAAAATTTTGACATTATGTTCTGCAGGTTTTCATGAAGTTATATATATATCTTAAAGAAAGATATAATAATACTTGAATGTTTAGAACAGACATCTTTCTAAATATCTTACTAGATATTTGACTCTTGTCCTATACATATGCATCTATTCATTTCCATGATTTATGCTCATATATCATGTATATCATTATATCAAACTTCAAATTAATTTATACTGGCCTTAGCCTCCTGCAAGTGTTGACCACCGCATCTTTGATTGACCATTGACCATAGGTACTGGATGGGTACTGCATGCATTTTTGTACGTAGGTGAACTCCCTCAGGTACTGTAGGTTAGTCCCAAAACCCCGGTGTTTCCAAAATGGCACATACAGTGTATGGTAAGGATTCAGACCCAGAGTTTCTAAGCTGATTAATCTCAATAACAACATTGTTGCATCCCGGTGGTAAGTTGTGAGGGTCCCGTCGGAGAAGTTGCATAAAATTACATGTTTCACACTCGTACCATGAATCAGGAAGTTCCTAAAAGAAATATACCTTACAATCTTTGTGGGGGATCGAAGGAAAGTTCGTTACCTCCGATTTGAAAAAGGCTAATGTCAGGGGCTGTGGAGAAAGTACATAGTGTTCACGATGTCGCCAAACCCTTAACGTTTAACCCACCTTGGCCACGGATCAACAATGAGAATCTATTTATAATTTAGGTCAAAACAAAGATTTTTTTTTCACATATTGTCTTTCATATACTTGTCCATCCTTCTAATGTACGAATGGCCGATTAGCACAACCCTCGTCATGTCTGCCATTTTGAAACACCCCGCATGTACCCAGGCTCCGATGGAGTCGAAAAACAGTCACAAAGCGAATCCGAAATATCACCACTTACATACTGTGCATAAAGTCGTATGCACTGCTAATCCACTGATTATTAAGCATTGATCAAGATGAATAATCCGAAATCGTTATGTTTTTCTACAAAAAATGGTGTGTACAAACACTTGCAGCATCCACCAGCGATAACAATCACGTGATATTCCGACGTTAGCTCACGACTAATCAACGCAAAGCCCCAAAACCTGAGACTATGCATTACATAACGTCCTAGCTCTGAAACCTGATATATACATGAAATATACTACAATCACTACATTCTAACCACAGAAAATGGTAAATTACATATGTATGCATAAAACATATTATTGTCAATAATATTACATTATAGGATAATCCTATGTTTGTCTGTTCTTCTTGAAATCAAATTTAATACATAAATAGTTCTCCAGATTTTTTTAATGTCATTTTTCCTTAAAAATTTGAAAAGACCAGGCTCTAAATATCATAATCGTATAATATTTTGAATATTTATATTTATAATTAATTATATCTACTTATTAGCTTTTTTTTCAAAACAGACACTGAAAGAAAACTCAAGTTCCTCCAGAATGAGTCTTCCTATAACATTTTCTTATCTTTTCCCCATAAGAATTTGGATTTAAAGACATAAGCCACAGTAGTTCAGAAAACATTAAATTCATTTATTTGATAAATGAAGATGCTTATAATTTCATAAGTAAAGTTTGCTAGAGTAATGTTTAAAATAACAGAAAATTGGGAAAAACATTTTCAAAGGTTGAATCGGCAAAAAAAAAAAATTTATATTTATTTCAAAATATTATTTAACTTTCACACAATCTTTTTGTCCGTCACAAGTTTTTAAACACTCCACTTAAGCAAAGATTTTATTAATTTCCCCAACAGATAAAAAAAAAAAGTTTTCACTACTGTATATAGTTACAAATACAAGGTGTGAACTAAGGAACAAACAAGGAAATGTGCCAGTTGATTTACAAGAATTTAATTTATTTGTTTTAATGTATGCAGATGATATGGTTATTTTTTTAGAATCAATAGATGAGCTTCAAAGAATGCCAAATACACTATATGATTATTCTAGGAAATGGAACCTGTCTGTTAATATATCGAAAACAAAAATTGTTATTTTTAGAAACGGAGGTAAAATACGTAAGGAAGAAAAATGGCATTTAAATGGTGAATCAATTGAAATTGTTGACCAATTTACATATCTCGGTGTACTTTTGAATTATAATGGAAAGTTTAATATTTCCATTTCTAATTTTTTTCTCTGTGATAACTGTTTGAAAGTTGGGGGAATTTATTTCTTGATAATTCTGCCGGAATATAAATTAGGCAGGTCGATAGGTCAGCAGCTAAGGAGGCCTAATACGCATGCAAATCTCGTGCGCATCTGTCTCTGTGTCTGACGCTAAGGAGGCCAAATATGCATGTGAATCTCGTGCGGCTGCCTTTGTGTTTGACGTCAGTGTGCGAGGACTATTGAAATTGGCATGAAAGTCCTCGTGTGATTTTAATCTATTAGTCTACATTTTTAATGTCTAAGTCTACAATTTTATTTCACAATGCAATGGACATATAAGGAATCACTGTCTAGTTTTGAGAGTATGCCAGGGACATCAACAATAGTGGGAAACATGGGATAATTTTAGCATTATCCCATGTTTCCCACTATGTTGATGCCCTGGCATACTCTCAAAACTAGACAGTGATTCCTTAAAAAAGTGCACTTGGACTTTATTAAATATGTTTTAGGTGTTAGAAGGAGCACAAATACTGCCATGATTTATGTTGAAACTGGTAGACTGCCTATGAAAATTGTTCGCATTTTTCGCATTTTTAAATTTTGTTTCAAGCTGTTAAAAACTGACAATTGTAGTTTGAAAATGTGTTATGAATATTTGTTCAATGAATGTGAATATTCCGGCAGACACTCTGATAATTGGGTTGTAAATATCAAACAAAAACTTTATGAGCATGGACTCGGATTTATCTGGCTTGAAGAAGACAAAGAAATGATTTATAAACAATTTCCTGTAATCAAACAAAGAATAACAGATAATTTCATACAAAATCTTGTGACAGAAATTAATTGTTCAACAAAATGTATTTTTACAGACACATTGTAGATTATTTAACCTTGCAATATTATTTAAGAAAGTCAATACCTAATCTTTATAAAAAACAAATAAGTAGAATAAGAATGTCTTCCCATAACCTTGCAATTGAAACTGGCAGGCATAGAAATATTGTGAAGGAATTAAGATTTTGTGAATCTTGTAAAAATATCATAGAAGATGAATTTCATTTCGTTTTAATTTGTCGCCTATACAAGGACTTGAGAAGTAAATATATTAAAAGTTATTACTGGAAAAAAACCATCCACATTCAAACTAGTCCAATTATTAAGTGTACAAAACTTTTCTGAGCTCTGAAATTAAGGTAATTGCATTTAGCTTTTAAGTTAAGAGATGAAAAAATGTGATTCATTCATTCATTTTGTCCAATCATTATGTCAGTATATTTATTAACATTTATTATGTGATTCAAAGTTTTAATATCTAATGTATAGACGCGCCATACCAAGTGACTTCTTTATATAAACTAGGCGCTGTTTTTTCATGTATTGATACCATACCAATCTGTTTTTTCTCAATTATATTTGTAATAAAATTGTGATACGTATGTATTAAGCAAAAAAGAATAATAAGAATAAGAACTAAATGAACAGACAATAAAACAGAATCACAGTTACTGTAACACTTCAGAATAAAGGAAAAGAACTGTTCCGGATGACAGACTTTCTTCTGTTTTTTAGGTAAATAATTTCAAATAACTGTTTTTAAATAGACTTTTTGTCCTTTTTTCATTGTATTTTGCACTATTTTGAGGCTTCAATAATAATGAAAAACCCAGCAGGTATTGCAAGGATCATCGCAATGATGCAAAAAGCAAATGCAAAATGAAAGTGAACATCTGCAACGGTGTTAGTATACTTGGCAGCGTAAACAGCAATAGATATCAAAATGCAAACCGCTGAAAGAAATTAAAGAAATTTATTAGAATTAGAAGAAAACAATATAGATTCCCTCTCTGGGTTTAGTTTCAATTGTTTGTTTTCTCTAAATATATGTTTCTTCTACAACATTTAAACATTTGTAAATACAATAATTTACCTCCTGCAAATGTTAACCCAGCAGACAAATAAAACAGCAAGGCCTTGTCCATACAACGTTTAACTGCCAGTGCAACAACAGCAATCAGAAGGGAGATCAATCCTAGGCAAGCAAAAGCTTGTACTGCCTTAAACCAATCTAAAAAAACACAGAGCAAAATGCAACCAATGCCATTATCATATACCATATCAGTGCACTTAAATTATTTTTTTTACCTGGTGCAATACTAATGTCAGTACATGTGGTGACATCCTGACCAGCACCACTAACGGTATTGCAACTTTGCCACAATCCTGCATTCACCTGAAGGCTTGCTGGACCTCGACTTTCTTTACTATAAATCCAGTAAGGTGAAGCAAATCCTATGATATGAAGAACAAATGCGAGTGTTTGAAGAACAGATCCGATGATGCAGAATTTAGAGACGTCCCCACAAAATGCCATTTTGGATAACGATCACTGGAAACTTTCAGTCTAAAAATATGATTATGCAGTTTAAATACTTACTACTGGTAAAACTGTAGTTACTTAGATGACATGTATTTATTTGGTAAATGCACATAAATACATGTACATGTACATGTTTAGCAAATCCAATAATTCTATTAACATTTAAATTACCAATAAACAATGACCTCCTTGACGTTTAAAACTTAGAAATTGAAAAGAAAGATGAGAATTTCTGCTTTTATTTACAACATGAATGTAAATTTTACGACCAATTTCTGAAACGAAGCACGCTTTTGGAAAACAAATTGATGAATCGAAGACCTGAGGAATCTCATTAAAAATTAACATCCAAAATTCTTAAGTGGAAACAGTTACCTAGTCAGTAAATCCAATTTAAAAGTTTTTTTTTAGAACCGATCAATGTTTGATACATTTACCTTTTTTTCATCATAAATAGATTTATATAGAAAAAAAACTTTGATTTTAAGTTTATTTTACCAGTTATTATAGTAGCTAAAATGTCAGTTTTTTAAATAAATTCAATTGGTTTTTAAAATAATTTTGGTAGGAAAACAAAAGTCTAATAATTCCTTTTTTACTCTGTAACAGTTGTTTTCTTGTCTCATATGTTAGGTTAATGATTGAATAGTCAACACTGTATCTAAACTTCTTTAAGAGATCTCTTTAAGAGATCTTTGTTCTTCAAAGTTTTTTTTATTTCAATATTTCGGAGTTAATTTAATACAGCCCCACCCTAACACCAGAACCCCTGACCCGGGGCCATGAATTTCACAGTTTTGGAAGAGACTCATATGACTCATTATAAACTAGCTAGAAAATTGCGTAATTATTGAAAGACATGCAATCAACAAAGGTCTAGAACTAAATACTATTCAATGCATTGTTAAATACAATTAAGCTGTTTCAGTTTTTTTTTTTTAAATTCACAGGGCCAAAAAAGCCAAAAGTGAACCTTGTTTTTAATATGTTTTAAATTTTAAAACCGTTTAATCAATAATTTTTGTTTTTTAACATTTTTAAGACCTTTGAGAGTTTCAGTATAATATTTAAGACCTTTTTTTTTTTAGAGTTTCAGATTATCATAACTTAAAAAAAACAGTATTACGACGTCATATTACATAACATGTATAATGACAAAATATTACTAGTATATAATATTAAAATATCATCAGGAAATGTGCAATAATACTATATAATGTTTAAATATCAGTTTATAATGTCATATCGTTTTAAACCACGGAGTCCAATCTAAGGCCGTGTCACACTGTCACGATTCATGCTACGATTACCCACCACGAATTAATAAAAGTTGAAAATCGCTGTTCATCGCCAGGTTTGTCTTGCGATTTTTCTACAGTTTGTTGAATATTTAGCAGTCAGAACGGTGTGTCAGCGGTGTCTGTGCGACAAAGTGCGAGGTTTATACGATTTAAGTACGAATTATGCCGACAGCATTACGAACTGGTTACGATATTTCTAAGATTTGGAAGGATTAAATGCGGTTACATACGATACTCGTACGAAAGACTACGATATGCCACGTTACATACACGATATTCCTACGACTAATGGCGATATCGTACGAATATACATATGATGGAATGTATATCTAGAGTAAAGGGAGATTAGTCTGAAATCATTCAACATCATAGTTATGCTATTGATCATGGTTAAAAGTACAGTGGGGAGCTTTTGATTAGTTTCTGTTACACATGTATTTTCAATTTATTTCACTTGTCTAAGTTTCTTTCCTTTTATTTTAGGCAGTATTTTGATTTCGACAGTGTTAACATCAGACACCGTCTGTCTACATCGTATTAACTCGTAGTTCAGTCGCATAGTTTTCGTGCAGCACTTGCCATCAATCGTCCTTTTTCGTATCATATTCGCGGGAAAGTCGTACTATGTTCTTATCAATTCGAAGAACACTCGCAGTATCTCGTAAGACAATCGCAGTAACTCGGGAGACACTCGCAAAAACTCGAAGGACACTCAAAGTAACTCGTAAGACTCTCGTAGTGTCGCGAGTACTACGAAGTTCCGCGAATGTCGCACGAACTTAATAATCGGTATTTGCGTCCGTCTGTACGTTTGTCCGTCCGTCCGGACAGGATCCGTCTGTCTGTCCGTCCGTCCGTCTGTTACGCTTTGGGGTACCCATCTCTTATACGCAACTCCTCTCATACCACTGAAGGAAATTTAATGAAACTTTCACAGAATCTTTATTACATATTGCCATTGTGCACTTCCTATTTTACTTTTTGATCTGGCATATATTTTGAATTTTCCAGAGCAAAACATGGACACTGCCATTACATGTATATTCATATGGGAGGCGGGGGGTATCATTTAGTGAGCTCATTGCTCACAATACCTCTAGTTTTATTGCAATTGAATATATATGAAGTGAATAAATTGCTATTGGATTATAAATATTTTACTAAAAAGGTTTTTTTCTAGTCTTAAAGATCAAAATTAAAAACATCTATGCAAGACACTAAATGAAATCTTTGCATTGATTACCTTGATTATCATTATGTTTTATCACCCTCTCTGCTAATTTATGCCCTTTTTAAAAAAAATACAGCGACTTAAAACATGACTATTGTTTTTAATTCTCCCTCTCTCTCTTTCTCTCTCTCTCTCTCTCTCTCTCATTGTAAAACATTCACAATTAAAATAAGATCAATTTTCAAACACATGTAAATGATATTGTATACATGTGTGACCTTAAAATATATGTTGTTCTTTATTACTTTATTACTTTATGCTTTTAAGATCCAATGCCTATGGAATTATTTTCTTTATGCCATTGATATAATTTGGAAAGTATGAACTACATAGGCGTCGAAACCGGGAGAGATAGGGGGGGCTTAGCCCTCCCGCTTTTTTTTTTTGCAAATATATATATTTAAATATGCACTTAAAATTTGGGTTTTACTTTTTTAGCTGGTTTAGCTACCCACCCCCCCCCCCCCCTCCTTTCAATTAGCCCCCCTTTCAATTTGCTTTCGACGCCTATGAACTTAATATTATACAATTATTGCTGTTTTTTGAGGTAAATACAATGATCTAGCCATCTGAGGAGTACAATATTCACCGAGCCCTAAGGGCGAGGTGAATATTGTACATTGAAAATGGCTTTAGTAAATCATTGTATTGACCAAAAAACAGCAATTGTTTTATTATATGATTCACTGATAAAATTATAAAGCCTATTACTTGTTTGCATTTAAGTAAGTCCTAGCCAAATACAAAAGAGAAGCAGAATTAAAATGTAAATTGATACATAGGTACATTCCTTTGAAAAATCTTGTTAATATGCTGTATTAAAACTATTGATACTGTACTTGTATGACACAGACACGTAATCCTTCTGGAAAGAACAAAGAAAATTTTGACCAGAAGTTGGTTTGTAATCCCTCCTTTATCTAATTCTTTAAATAGGGGGTGAAGTTTACTTAAACAATGATAACATTGCAATTGGTGCAAAGAAACACTTGAATTACATCTGGAAATTCACAAGGTACTATAGTTATTGTGCAAGTTTACATTACCTATAAGTCGGTCCGCCTATAAGTCGGTTGTATTTTTTGACGTTATTTTGGTGGAATTTGCTATTGACCCGCTTATTAGTCGGTACAATTTTTTTGCCAAATCGGGTAACAATTTCCATTAAATTCATTGATGTTTTAATCTAGTTTCAATTGGTATTTTTCGTACTGACACTTATATTTAATCTTGAATTATTAAACAAACTAGAGATACTGTGAGCAATGAGCTCACTAAATGATGCCCCCGCCCCATATGACTATTATGGCAAAGTCCATGTTTTGTTTTGGCCGGGAAACCCAAAATATGTGTCAGATCAAAAAATAAAAAAGGGGTTGCACAATGGCAATATGTAATAAAGATTCTGTGAAAGTTTCATTAAATTTCACTCGTTGGTATAAGAGGAGTTGCGGATAAGAAATGGGTATCCCAAAGCGTAACAGACAGAAGGACGGACGGACGTACAGACGGATGGACATACTGATTACAGTATACCCTCCCACTTTGCAAGCGGGGGTATAAAAAGTAATGCTCACTTAAGATACAAATAAAATTATAAAAAATTGTTAATACTTGCGCTTTATTTGTAAAATTTCAGAATATATATCCATACATTTTCTTCGATAATCGTCGGAAATTCAAATAAACTAGATGTACTGTGAGCAATGAGCTCACTAAATGATACCCCCTGCCTCCAATATGGATATATTGATATATAACTGATGACAAAGAGCAAGTTTTGCTCTGGCCGGGAAACCCAAAATATGTGTCGGATCAAAAAGTAAAATAGGAATTGCACAATGGCGATATATAACTAGAGGTACTGTGAGCAATTAGCTCACTAAATGATACCCCCCGCCTCCCATGTCCATGTGTTGATATATATTGTTTTACGGTAATGTGTAAAGAAGAATAACTCGTCCTATCTGTATCAAATGTTATCCAGAAGCTTCTATATGTGACGTCATAGGTAAACATATAATTGCAATTTCCATGTTTTGCTATGGGAAACCCAAAATACGTGTCGAATAAAAAAGTAAACTAGGAAGTGCGCAATGGCAATATGTAATAAAGATTCTGTGAAAGTTTAATTCAATTTCAGTCACTAGTATAAGAGGAGTTGCGGATAAGAGATAAAGCGTAACAGACGGACGGACGGACGAACAGACGGAAATCCTGTTTACTATATATACCCTGCCACTTTTTAAGCGGGGGGTATAAATACTACATTTCAGCCTCTTGAAAAATACTAATCTCTTTATGACTCGCCTATAAGTCGACCAATGTATAACTCCCAAAAAACCGACTTGTAGGCGAGTATATACTAGTACGCAAGTTTAAAGAGAGTTTGCTGGTTCATCCTTACTCATCGAATTAATTATTTTTATTTCGGATTTAATGTTTAAACGTCTATAAAACATTCAGGATTCCGTATTTAGAGCTAAATCTTTACAACAGGTCTGAGAAGGTCTCAAAAGGACTATTTTCTAATTAAAGAAAAAAAGAAGTGTTACGTTGTTCAGTAGATATTGGATCAGTTGACCTTTTTTAATTTTTATTTCTGAAAAAATAATGCGTAGTGCTTCGAAAAAGGTCCTCCCTTATTTTATGCTCCCATTACATTCTTACGACTATATCCTACTCCACATCGAGGCATCATCTTCAAAGATACGAATTCTGGCGGAAGTTTGACCACTTTATTTCAACATTTTGCCTTTTGTTTGAATTTACGATTACCGGGTAGAAATGCAAAGAAATGCTGTGGTCATTAGGTTCCAATACGTCACAGTCATTAGGCATGTGGCGTTTGTTACCTGTCGAGAGTGGATTATTACTCTTCCTTGGCAACTGACACCAGAAACACAGGAATTTCCAGGGGTCCGTGTTTTCCCCTTGTTGTATTACTGGGTTTTTTGTGATTTATTACTGTCATCTTCACCTGCTACATTCGTGTTTTTATCAACGAAAAGATAACGAACAGTGATGGATATAAATAAAAATCTACCATTAATATACAAACTGATAACAGGCCATAAAACATGAAATTTCAAAACTGGTATCATGTGTTATGGAGAGGATAGTGGGTATCCCCTGTTAATCGATCACATTCGCAATGAATCGTATGTATTGATCAGGCAGACAAAACATCACGTTGTCAAACAGAGACCTGCTCATTTTGTATGAAACAAGTCAGCTACATTTTTACTTAATATTTTTACTAATATAAACTTTAATTGAGACTTTTTAAAACCTTGCAATATCAATTATCTAAGTGGCTGGCCTTGGTTTTAAAAAAAATTCGTAGAAAATGTTCTTAAAAATTGAATAAGGTTGGAAACATATAAGCAAAATATTATTTATAATGAAACATTACTGCATAAATCTGGAAAATTGTCAATGTAATATCTGAAATAATCTTTTTTCCTCATACAATTTAGAAGCTTAATAGAAGCTTTTTGCTCACTTATATGTTAATATAAACTAGAGGTACTGTGAGCAATGAGCTCACTAAATGATACCCTGCGCCATCCATGTGTGGTAATAATGGCAAAGTCCATGTTTTGCTGTGGCCGGAAAACCCAAAATATGTGTCGGATCAAAATGTAAAATAGGAAGTGCACAATGGCAATATGTAATAAGGATTCTGTGAACGTTTCATCAAATTTCATTCAGTGGTATGAGAGGAGTTGCGGATAAGAGATGGGTACCCCAAAGCGTAAAAGACGGACGGACGGACGTACAGACGGACGGAATTAACGATAACTATATACCCTCCCGCTTTTCAAGCGGGGGTATAACAATAAAATGCTATATTTAAAGTCCTATTTATATATGCTCATCATAACTATGTACTTAGTTTATTTAATATCCAGGAGCAGAAAAGAAGATTTTTAAAGAGATAATGCATTTTCACTATAAACGTAGAGGACTTAATGCTGATTACAATCATGCAAACAGTTTGACTGCTTGATGTCCAGGAGTAAAGAAGAAGAATTTTAAAGATTGCATTAATTTTAGTGGTTTTGGACCCACCCCTCAGGCCCCAGGGAGGCAGGGATCATAAAATTAACAATTTTTGTTCCCCTTTATCCATAGATGCTTTATGCCAAATTTGGTTGAAATTGGTACTGTGGTTTCAGAGAAGAAGCGGAAAATGTTCAAATGTTAACGCACGACGACGGACGAAAACGGATAGCAATAGGTCACCTGAGTTTACTCAGGCAACCTAAAAAACACTTTTATCGTCAATGTTATCGCCGAAAATTTTATGACGTTTGAAGTCCAAGATTCTCCAAGCCCACTCTCTCTTGCCCAAAACATCTTTCTCGACGATATACCAAATTCATCGAGTTTCATATTGTCTACGTGACATGGATTTTTTCAACAGCTTATTTTGTAAATTGCATTTTACAATTTAAACGATAAAAAACTCACTTGACTTTGTCAATTTTAACTTGCTTGACTGAATTCAGTTTCTACAGGACGAGGCAAATGTGCCATATATCACGCAAGTTTAACGGAAATGAAATTTGGAAACATATGTTTTTATCTAAATATGTGTCTCCATGGTACATATAGAACTTAGGGTTGAAAAACGTCGTATTTTTGAAAGTTTTTGTGCCACGTGGTCATTTTAATGTTTACAAAAAATTACCTATTAATATTAAGTTTTAAATAAGTGTCTTAAAATTAATTATGTGGAAAGATTGGTTTAAAAAAACTTTGAAAATTCATTGACATAGATGTACCTGATGCAGTTGTAATTTTAGTGCGTCTATCCACCACCGTTCTTGATAACTCCTCGTAGGAAAGGAAGTAACAATTGTTTAAAATTGATAAAACGACGTCGATATCTAAAAGGCGAGTTAAAATCCACGTCAAGGCAAATTGCTGAATTTCTCGATTCAGTTTTTTTTTTTTTACTGTTTTCAGTTTTAGAAACGGATCGAAGTTTTCTCTATTTCTGGCACTAAATAGTGTCACAATGTTTCCATTATATTTCACTCTGAAGACATAAGACACTTTTTTTCTCTGTTTCTTTTTTAGAAGTTTGAAAATTCTCTCAAGAAGAGAAATATTTCTATGTCTTGAGAATATGCAAAAACCTTTACCTTTGGCTCAGATTTGGTGTCTCCCATCATTATCTTAAGTACCGTATAACTGGTTTTTAATGCGGGTGCAAATTTTTGCGATTTGATCCTGAAATAGGTATATTTATTTTTTGCGATTTTAATTTTTGCGATTTCACTTTGACAATAAAGTCTATTTTTATTGAATTTTATTACTAGACATTTAGATAAAAAAGTCTATTTTTATTTTTTATTGAGCAAACCAAAGCAATTTAAAATACAGCTGACTCTCGATGGCTTGAACTCCGATCTCTCGAAGTGAACCTCCGGTTCCGTTTTTTTCCTCTATATATAAACTAAGCAAATTTACTCCTGATCTCTCGAACTTCTATCTCTCGAAATTCTCTATCTCTCGAACCAAAATCTGGGTCCCGTTACACATATTTCATTGAAATCTGGTAAACACTGGTGAAGGACCCGATCAAGCCGCAGAATAGACTAACCGACAATTGCTATTCGGGTTTCATATAAATAAATCATGAAATACAATGTAGGAACAAATAAATATTTAATCTATAGGAATTCGTTTTATTTATTCGAAAAACAATCATTGTTGTTTATATCAAGTAAATTACCTGTAAAATACACGGGCACTGGAAGTTAATGTAAATATATAGTATGTGTATGTATAAAAAAGAAGGGTAGGACACTCTTTTTGAGGCAAATTCGGGTTTGGGGTATTTTAGGCCTTTCTCAGAAGACTTGGCGCGATTAATCGTTCACTTATAACTTACTTTGAATATATGTACTGTTTCGTTCCGCTCCAATGCCGTCCCTTCGAAGAAAAAGATGTTTTTATACCTCCAAGTGCCTAAGAATTTCGCTAGACTGCCTGACTTCCGGTTTATACGCACTGAATATAAAGGTAAGTTCTGATTGGTCAATGTCATTATACATAAACAACATGACGTTTTCCCGGGAAAATAAGGTGTAAAACGATGGATTTGACATGTGAGATTGAGCATGCTGTGGAAAATGGCCACAATGTTGTAATATCAGGTCAGGCAGGGACAGGGAAATCTTTCATAGTCAAAAAACTATACTATAAACTTAAGAATAGGGGGGAGAAAGTGAAAATAACTGCAACCACAGGCATAGCAAGCACTGTATTACCTGATGCCTCTACTGTCCATAGTTTTTTTGGACTACAGGACGGCAGATACCATGTCACTCAACTTATACAGAAAGTTTGTAATGATGACAATTATAATCCTGTTAAAGCAAGAATTCTAGACACAGACATTCTTTTCATTGATGAAGTGTCAATGTTGTCACTAAAAATTTTCACAGACATTGATGCTCTGTGTAGGGCAGTTAGAAACAGTGACATACCTTTTGGAGGTATGCAAATCATTTTATCGGGAGATTTTTATCAACTAAAGCCTGTACCAAATTCATACAGTGACAATGGTGAATATATATTCCCTGCAATTCAACAATTCCATAGATTTATACTGCAGAAAGTGCATAGACAGACAGAAGGCAAGTGATGTTTGTTTCTCTAATAATTATGGGAAATTTCAATAAGATTAATAAATTAATTACATAGAGTAATTAGATCATCTTCAACATCAGCATTTCTCATTTTAACAATATAAATAAAATGATCACATAACTAACACCCTCACCCCACCACCTCAATATTTGACATATGAGGATATTTGATTAATTGAAATAACAACATAAAAAAATATGACATGTTTATATCATGATTATTACTATTTTTATGAGATAACATTTTGAAATCATATATATAATTTTACTTTATTGAATAGATACTTTAGTCAGAGCCATCCATGAACTCAGCAGGGGTGATCTTACAGATGACACTGATCTATTCTTAAAGAGAATGAAAAGGCCCTTGCCACCTGGAAATCAACCAACAAAGCTCTTTGCAAGGAATTTTGATGTTGATAAATTTAATTCAGACAGCTTAATGGACATGGAAGGTATTTATAAATCACATTTTTTCATAATAAATATGAAGTAAAGCATAAACATTGTTTTAAACCTAATGTATAAACACATATTGTTCACTCAGTGTATATCATTTTCATGGATTTCAAAGTCGAGGCATTTTTATTCGCAGCTTATTTGATTCTGATGTCATTTTTTTCTTTTGTTTGGGTGATTTTTTACTTTTTTTGAGCACTGGTTGGTTTGTTGATATGGAAAAACATTTTGCAGATTCTAATCCAGCATTTGATTTCCTGGCCCTTGACTTTAACGACTGTCCGAGTACTACAGAATTAACAGTTTTACAATAATTTGCATAAGTTGGATTACTGTTGCTACCATTAAACATTCCTTTCTCTTGACAAAATATATTTTCTGCAATGTCATTATTAAACCTGGATGGTTTTATACTGGCCCCCGGGAACATCTCTAGGTGCTGCTTACAAATAGCTGGAAAACTAAGCAGCATGTTTTCAATGTCTTCCACACACTGCTTCGATGGCAACATTTTATGCTTAGTTTCGCTTTTTGATTCCATGACTTCTTTCTGCCAATCTTGCCACCATTGAAGAATTTCCCTCAGACGAGCAAGACGTGGGTCTGATGTTGTCGTCACAAGTGCTCTATCTCTGAAGATCTTGATTAAAGAACTTGTGTTCTCTAGTAGTTCAATGGCCCCATCAAGAACAGATCCATTTGATAGACTGTTTTGGTAGGATTTCATAAGGTTTAGCATTTCAGAGTCAAGCATGGTCTCTGCCAACTCATTTTGCATCTTTTCAGCAAGATTTGGGTGTAAGTGAGAATCTGTAACCTTATGATGTATCCTTCGTGCGTTTATTGTTCTGTCCCATTCCACAGCCATTTCCCACTGCTTCCATACAATGAAATGTCCATGAAGTATTAACTTTCTTGTGTGTACCCCTTTAACATCTCCACTTTTGAGAATACTGTTTCTTAATTTTTTCATGTTGTGAGAAAAATCTTGAGTGTGGAATGTTGTTGTCAGTGGATAAACCAAATTTGGGCTTCCGTAGCAAGTGTCTCTTGGGTTTTCATTGAAGTGGAGGTTCATAAAACTCCTGTTCTCTTCGCCGCCATCTTGCATAATGTAATCTATCTGGAATCCCCAGTCACTTAGCTTTTCAATAACATTCCATATTATGATGCTCAATTCCGAGGCTTTAATTCCTCCAGTTGGATAATGGCAAATAGGGAATCGAAATCCTGTGAAGCCTACAAATGTAATTTGTATCACTTCACTTGCAAGTTTCTGAGTCACTGTTTGATCTTTCATTACTCTCAGGTTTTGTGCCTCCTCACCTAAATCAATCCAACCAGTTATAATAGGTGTACCACCTTTCATTTCCACCACTAAATCTTGTTGTACTTTGGTTTCATCATGATGTAATCCACCAACCCATCCATTTGGAGGAAGTTTGAGTCCTTTTGCGGATTCATACATCCACCTTAGTGTGGTGTCATTGATACCTGGTTCTTGTGGGATGCAGTTCTTGTATCGTCTGAGTTGCCTTCCAGATGGCAACACTAAGACATTGCTTTCTAACAGAGTCTGGTACGCTTTAGGACTCCTTATCCAAAGAGACAGACATAAACTCACAACATCTTTGTTCCAGCGTCTAGCCTGCGGTGACTTTGAACATAGAATGTTATGTTGTGATTTTAAGAACAGTTTCATTTTGTCGGATGCATTTGGGAAAATTGATTCTAATATGTTTGATAAGTCTGCATGATCAATTTCTGATACAAAAATTTCATCTTTATTACAAATTGTTGTGTCTGTAAGGTTTTTAGGATCTGAACATTCTTTCATAGAAGATAATGCATGGTTTTCTCCTTTGGAATGGATAGTGATATTAGGTCTGTAACACATATTTTCTTTGTCATTGTCATATATTTCAGCTTCTTTTTCTGCTTTTGCTTCAATATTTAACTTCAGTTTTTGACATTTTTTACACAAAAAGTTGTTACTCTGACTGAAAGGGAACCACCTGCTGACATCTTTCTGACCGATAATGTAACTCAGATGAACTCGTCAAACATTCATTTATACTAACTTTCTCCTGAATGATTTGCTTGCTGTCAAAGGGTACACAGTAGTTGTTTTTAAATCCTCTACATAGTTCAAGACATTCAACAATCTTCAGAATTTGAGTTAAGCTTCTTTCATTTAGTGAATTAACTCTGTTGTCAATGAAGAGTTCATTTAAATCAACTTTCTGTCCACGCACTTTCAGTTGCCAAGTAACTGAATTTGAATCATGTTTTTGTCGTAAGAAATTTATTTCTTTAATAATGAAGCTCCCATTGCAGTATGTGTTGCTTTTTAATCCAATTGATATCATTTCTAAATCCTGGTGTAGGACCATAGCAGATTTTGGCAGTAAGTCTGTGACATTTTGCCACAAGATAGTTTCATCTGAAGGTCTGCAATTCCAGAATACACCTGAGTAGCAGGTAACTCTGTTGCCATTCCTGTATACTTTAGATATTTTTATGTGTTTAAAAAGCTTCAACAACAGTTTACCAACAAGAGTGTCAGACTTTGGGATGCCAGATTTCTTTGATATATCATCGGAAAATATTTTCCCAATGGTGTCCTCTTCTATGTTTTCCAAAATCCTGAAACAAAAATAATATAAATTTGAATTTAAATTGGAAAGATATATATCTAAGGATTATCACTGGTGGATTCAGAAATAATATTTAACTAGGAAGAAAATATACTCCAAACTGAAAGACTTCTGAATATTTTTTTAATATTTCATTTACCATTGGTGCATGGTGTTGGTGGTTTGTGTGTGTACACCGGGAGGGGGGTACATAGTACATAGTATCATGTTGTGGACAGACTTCATAAATACAACTCCTCTAATCATATCCGTAAGTGTCTCTAAAACATATTTATTCATTTATTTTCCTATTTATTTAACTGTCAATTTATTACAGTATGACTGGAAATGCAGGGAGGCATAGCCTTGCCGCTTCAAAATTGAAATGGGTTATTACTGAGTAATAGGAATATACAAGTCTTTTTCAAATTGGTACATGTATATGGTAACATTATTAGACTTTTGTGTTGTTTTACAGGTGAAGTAAAGATATTTAAATCAACAGATTCTGGAGATGCCACGAAATTGACACACTTTTCAAGTGCAGCACCAAAACTTTATTTGAAAATAAATGCTCCCGTGATGCTGCTTGTCAATTTATCTTCATCACTTGTGAATGGTCAGTGTGGAGAAGTGAAGGGTTTTGGTGAAAATTATGTGGATGTTTTCTTTCCTCAAACAAAAAAAAAATACAAAGATTTATGCATATAATTTTACCATTTATGACAAGGAGAGTGAAAGAGACATTGCATGTCGCAGGCAAATTCCCTTAAAGCTATCATTTGCCATGACTACTCATAAGGCACAGGGACTAACTTTGGATCGAGTGGAAATTGACTGTCGGTATATGACTAATCCGGGCCAGATAGGGGTAGCAGTTGGGCGATGCAGAAGCATCAAAGGACTTCGGATTCTTAACTACTCCAAACATTTAGTCAGGCAGCATAAAGAAGATGTTAATAGCTTTTATTCCACTCCATTCTTGCCCATTCTTCCTGACTTTTTATGCTGCAAAATGTCACCACTCTTGGAAAAATTGGCTATGGAGCCATTTTCAGCAGAAACAAAAACTGAAGTTGAGGAATCCGAGGATGATGAAGATCAAACTTTGAGAAAAGAATTAGAAGATGTTAATGTAATGGACAATCTCTTCTGCGACTGGGATGAAGAATGGGAGGGTTTGGAGGAGAGAGACTTAGAGGGTCAAGTTTGTGAAAATCCCTTACCAGATGATGTCAACATAGACTGTATCCTGGACGGGATTCGATACACAGAGCCTTTTACAAACGAACAAAGGAACGTTAACACCTGTTTATCAGATCTTCAAAATCGCAACATGGAATTAAAACTTTTTTGCAATAACATTCATGACAAATTACAGTCCTTTTTCAAAGATACTATTCCAAAGGATGTGAAAATTGAGAACAAACACACTACAGCATTTTTTAAGAAAGTGACATTATTCAGTTGCCACAATTCTTACCAAAATCAAGTGAGAAAATTATTTCACTCTGCTACACCATCAAAAGCACAGTATCGTGTATGTTTTGCCATATTGCAAAAGCTGCGTTCCATTATTGTCCAAAAGGCCTCTGAACCAGTATATATAACAGCAAGAGAAGCAGCAAAGGTTCAAGTAAAGAAGGTTCAATCTAAAGGAAGCAGAGCAAAAACAAGATACATAGGTGGGTGGTGTGTTGCCACAATCAGACGAAGAAAGAAATCCTTTGTCTCAAGCAATCTGTACAAAAAATCAGTAAAATTACAAGTGAACGAAAGAGACAAAGAAATTAGATTTCTTGATCAGCTTGCAGGTGATGAGAGTTACATAACGAAAATTTCTAAAGATCAAGATTCCTTAGCTGAAATTCAGAGAAAACAAACTACTCTTTCAAATCTGACATGCATTAAGGATGAAGGATTTCATTTTTTCCTGAATTTAGACCAACAAATCCAACAGCTCGAAACATTCCAAAATTTGAACTTGTATGGTCAGAACTTTTACAGTTACATCTACTCTAGCTTAAAAGAAAGTAAGGACTTAAAGAAATCTTGGTTGACTCTATTTCATGATGAGGACGAAATGAATGTTAATGACTATCAAGAGAGTCTTGAAAACATATACATGGAAGTTCTTACAAAGTATATCAAAATGTCCTCCGCACAGTTCCGCCAGGAATACAAAAGAGAGCTAAGAGTACAAAAAGAAGAGGCTCACAGAAAATAGATCCGAATGCGAACAGACAAAGCAAATAAACAAAAGCTGGATTTCAATTTTATCATTGTTGATGAAAGCGATTGCAAGCAGAAATCCCATTTGCGTCTCCAAAGCGAGTTGTTAGACAATGACAGTTTCTTACAAGTATTTACCAAATCAAATGTGATGCAGTTATGTAAAGCATATAATCTGAGTATTTCAAACAGGATGACAAAAAATGAGTTATGCGCATCTTTAAAAAAATCCATCCAAGACCAAGATAAAATGCCAAACTCAGCAATACTAACAACTGAAGCAGGAGAGAAAGTCACATCCGAAGAAACATCCTCTGTACAGGGTCAATCTACATCACATGAAGATAATTTAGTCAGACCAGGTCCATCAGGGGGAGGTAATTCAATTTCTTTATCACATTCATTCTCTTAACATATAGAGGCCCACATATTGACAGGCAGGCATTCATCTGTTTAATTATATTAATTAACTGCACTATCCTATTTTAGTACACAAGTTTATTTTTTATTGAAATCTCATATAGATGTAAATCAGTGAAAAGTTAATAAATATTTTCTTCTTTACCATGTTTTTTGATTAAATGCTCATCAGTTAAATTTTTGATTTATAGAAGACACCACCCAAAAATCTAATCCAAGAAGAGGCAGGAAAAGGAAGAGGAGACAAGGAGGTAAAGGGAAGAAGAAGAAAACTGTAGACCAGCAGCTGAGTGATGTTTACATGTGTGGAATATGTGACCAGCAATGTGACAATGAGTGTGTTTGTTGTGACATATGTGATACATGGTATCATTTCATTTGTTTACAGGTTGATGGGGATGATGATGAGTTTAATTCTGACTGGTATTGCAATACTTGTAAAAATAATTAAATTGCCTGAACACATATATTGCATTTGTCTCATGTTTGTTCACTGTAAAACAATTAAGGCAATTTGATGGGAGCAAATTCAATGAAGAGGAGTTTATAATTTGTCATTCTTACTCATGTTAAAATATTGACAGGAATATTTGAACTTGAAAAAAAACAAAAACATTTGGCCCATGGCCATTCTGATCGTGCTACCCGACCATATTAAGTTATATTGATAATGCATATCATACAAGGATTATTATTTTTTTTCTACATATATTTTAGGCTCATATATAATGTGTTATTTCAGACTATCAAGTACCATAGTTAACTCTTAACTTATTGCTTTCTTGAATTTGAATCACTAAGAATTGATTTAGTCTGAATTAAGGACTCAAGATCTGTGCATGGTCAGTGTAAAATGTTTTTTGGACATTGAGAAAAATATGTTCTATAAATTAAGGTATTAATTTTGAGCCTATCTATTTATTTTTCACCATATGGTACTTGACATTTAACCCACCCTCCCCCAGAAATAATAATCAAACACAACAGTACAGTATAGCAGTATACTTTAGCTTAATAGTGAATAGATTAATATCAACATGTGTAATGATATACTGTGAATTTCTATTTTTTAGAATTGAGATATAAGGGCTGCATGATCACTCTAACTGCAGAAAAAAATCAGAACTCTTTATTGTGCAGTGTATTGAGGGTTCTTAAATTAATGCTAAATTAAATATATAGTTATATATATTATATATTTATTCAGTATATTAATTTGATTCTAGTATGCCTTGGTTATAGTTATATTGTAATTCAATTCTCCATTACTCATACAGTTAACTTTAAAAGGCTTAAATATTTAAAATGCGACCAATTCTTTACAAACGTTAAACATACCATGACAAAATAAATTGTTTCTGGTTACACATGGTCACATTATTATTTGAATATGCCGCTTCATATCTATCCAGCTGCCATCTAGTGACGGGAAATAATATTAAATTTTATTTTATTATTGACCAATCAGAACTTACCTTTATATTCAGTGCGTATAAACCGGAAGTCAGGCAGTCTAGCGAAATTCTTAAGCACTTGGAGGTATTAAAACATCTTTTTCTTCGAAGGGACGGCATTGGAGCGGAACGAAACAGTACATATATTCAAAGTAAGTTATAAGTGAACGATTAATCGCGCCAAGTCTTCTGAGAAAGGCCTAAAATACCCCAAACCCGAATTTGCCTCGAAAAGAGTGTCCTACCCTTCTTTTTTTATACATACACATACTATATATATTTACATTAACTTCCAGTGCCCGTGGTAAAATACGATTGAAAACGAGCAATGGCATTATTTACATATACTTCCGGTATCTTTAAAAGTAGAACTTCGATGATCGCAACTGAAAATTCCGAATTTTATTTACGTATTCTTTGCGACTGAATTTTTTGCGATTTAGACTTGATCGCAAAATTTCGCCAAAAATAGCACCCCGTAGAAAAATCCAGTTATACGGTATATTGGTATACAATCTAAGTGTATTTGATTGTACTCTCTGTCGTACGTCTTTAATTGTTCAGTATTTTCATACCATGTACATACATGTATATCAAATCACATTACATATTGTTATGCCTCTACTAAACAGTTCCTATATAATTCCTAACTTTAAAAAAACCAACAATTCCACTGTTTTCCCCGCCTACCGGTCCAAGGAACTGTTAAAATTGACTGTTAGAAAAGACTGACGTCATATGGTGCTAAATTGAGTTATCTTTTCCTCATTCGGCAAACCTCGGCTGATCTGGATAACCGTTAGTTAAATGTACTTAACCGAGGAGTGCCGAGTAATATAAACTTGTCGTTTAGCTATGACGTCACAGACTATCCGTTGAAGCATGAAGCGGTTCCAAGACTTATGTACTAAGGCTACCTGTCGTTAAGAAATGGCTGATTACTGCAGCAAAAGAGGAAACAAATCTTGTCGATGCTCGAAACTAGGGACAGTAAGAATGCAAATATTAAAGAAAAATGTGAAAACGACTGAAAATATTCTCAGCGAATATTTAGTGTCTCTAGACATGTATACCGCTTCTGCAATAAATTGTGTTAAGAATTGATAAGCATATTGACTTGAGGAAATTCTATTGTGTCGATTGGAAGAAAGAACGGAGCATGTATGCAAAGACAACCGTGGTTCCCATCCGCTATGCTGTACAAAAATCATGTGAGAAGTCCCATGACATTGAAATAATAATTGATCCTCGATTGAAGACAACAATCGATTGATAAATACACATAAACATAAACACGATAAAGTATCTCTCTCCCAAAACAATTTTACTATTTTTTAATACATGAATTTGATTTGGTAAGAGTCAGGCGCGGATCAAGAAATTTTTTCCAGGGGGGTCCACCCCAGTCAAAAATACAACTCAACTCGCCCCAACATGAAAAACCTATTTGGAGGGGGGGGGGTTCTATGACTTCTATTTCCTAAAATCTTCCTCTCTTCATACCCATTTCACACATATTCACGTTTACCAGGGGGGTCAGCGTTTTCCAGGGTAACTTTTTTCTTGCTTTTGTATATACATTTTTTAATCTTGTAAATTCCAGGGGGGGGGGGGTCCTGACCCCCCCTCTAGATCCGCGCATGGGAGTATAACAAAACAGTTGTTGACAGGGGTCTCAGGTAAAGTCGACCTGTTGGACCGGAGTGCAAGATGTTGCCCGCGGCCTAAGGCCTTGGGCATCAGCTTGCACCCCGGTCCAACAGATCGACTGTTTCCCTCTACCCCAGTCAACAACTGCATAAATTATTCTGACTACAAAAGATTTACACAGAAAATATACCTGGTTGTTCGATGGTAACAGAAATGAAATATTTGGAGATAACGAACAGTATATTCGAGCTCAGAAGTCCATTAAACATTTCAAAATAGGTGCGGAGCAGCACGCACCATCAAAACATCAGTAATGGGACCAGGTGCCATGGAGGAGTGTCAGCATCCCCTGCCGACTGGTCACACCTCCTTTTCATGTTCGGGAAATAACGAAAAAGAACCTGTTGACAACTCCTTGTGAAAATAATGGCCTAACAATCAGTATGAAAAAATCAGTCAGCATTTTACTCAATAATAAATTGTATTTGCTGAAAAGGTCATTATACCGACCATTGAACTTACAAAAGTATGAGTTTAAAGGAGGTTGATGATGTTCTTGCTTCATCAACGTGTTTGCCAATAACTTACCAAGTTTAGAAATTGTTCATATGCAGAACATGCTCTTTCAAATCGAGTCAGATGAGAGATATAAACTCCGTATGCAGGTGACAAAGGTATATTGCTGCAAAAGAGGAATGCACGATTTTCAAGTTCAAGTCAACACATTTATCATAAAGCTTTGTTGATAGTAAACCATTAACGTCTTTTTCCGGTAAAAGATCCAAATATATATGAAAGAGACGTGTCAGACTCTGTGGTATATTTTATTTCACGCTCTCTGGGATTTATCCTGTCGACACAAGATCGGGAATGGAAATACATATTGTTAACTGACAATATGTCGCCGATTTATCCAAATGTCGAGCTGAAGGCCAGAGCAAGTGTTTTCCTCCTTTCTTTTACTCAATTTCAGAGTACTTTTGTATACAATCAGAATGTTTTAACAAATTAACTTTGCAAATGACCATTGACATGTCCATGTAAGTAAATTTACGAGTTCAACTTTTCTTGAAAAACAGGTGTTGATAAGTCAGAAAGTCTGAACTTTAATTTATCATGAGGGTTAGTTTTTATAAAGTTGGAAGTCGTAAGTTTTTATGTTGTTGATTTTGGTAAAATTTTGTGATTTTAAATGTTCCAGAAGCTCCTAAGAATTTTTTAAATATATACATCTGATAAAAATCACTTCTCGAATGTATTTTTGAACAGTACTCTTAAAGTTTCCTCTTTACTGCCATTAATATCTTTGTGAGTAATAAAGAAAGAGGCTTAGTAGATCATTTACTAGAACTCGTTATGTGCCTTTTTAAGGCTTTTTATAAATTTTCGGTATCCAATATAGATATGGTAATTCAAATTCATTTTGATAGTTTGGAATATTTAAAATATTCAAAATTTACATATGATTTTGAAGAATTTATTCCATAGAAAGGGATTTGTGAGTATATATAAGTTGGATTACCACTTGTAGGATCAAATCCAAGTTCCTCTAAAGTATGGTACATAATGAGCCTTACAAACACAAACAATGTTTTTCCTGTTTTATCAACAGGGACCAGTACGTTCTGAGCAGGTATTGTATCTTATCCTTTTTTTCACCTCTGGATTATTGAATTCAGAAGGGTAAATGATTTTCATACTACCTCCAATCACTCAATGCACGATTTTATCATCACTTTATCCACGCGCGGATCTAGATTGGAGTGGGGGGGGGGGTAAGGATCCCCCCTGGAATTTGCCAGGTTATTAAATTTTCATACTAAAGCAAGAAAAAAGTTACCTTGGACCCCCCTCGGAAATCGCAGACCCCCCCCCCTTCCCCGGTAAACGCAAATGTGTTAAATTGGTATGAAAAGTCAAAGGTTTGAAGCAATAGAAGTCATCGCCCCCACCCACCCCCCACGAAATATGTTTTTGAAGTTTGGGCGAGTAAACGTTTTTTTTTTTTTTTTTTTTGCTTGTCAAGAAATTAGGTTGGATTTTTTTTGGACTGGGGTGTAACCCCCCCCCCCCCCCCCCCCCCCCGGAAAAAAATTCTGGAACTTTTGTCGTAGAGGTATATTTTTGATACACTTTTAATGTTTCAATATTTTACAAGTTATTGATGGTGGAGCAGAGGCACGCATACGTGTACATACTATTTATTAAACAGGCATTGATAAGGAAAGAGACTAGGTTTTAACGGTTTTTTTTCTGTGATGTAAGTCCTGAGCAAGGCCCCCCACTGACTATTAGATTTCTACGTTTACTTCTATTTCTTACTTCTTTTTCCTTGTATTTTTATTTAAGGAATGACTCTAATTCTTGGCCATATTATCGAGTATAATCTGGTTTGGGTCACTTTACGCTTTATAATCCGCGAAGCGGATTATAAAAAAGCGTAAACTGACCCAAACCAGATTATACTCGATAATATGGCCAAGAATTAAAGTTATTCCTTATAATTTAATTTTAAAACAATTAAACAACTTTTGATGTAAAATTGTGTTGCTTTTTATAAGTTCAAATTTACCGCGCAATAATACAACCGTAGTAACGGAAGTGATTTGAAGCGAGGGGAGGTAATAACTG